ATAATAATCGTTTATTTATTTATTTTTGTGAGTGTTTCAACGGTTAATTTTTTTTTTTTAATTAATATATGTGTGCAAATTTAATATTTTTAATTATTTTTTTTAATAAATAAATTAAATCATCAGAAAAAATATTTGTTTTGCCGAGTTTTCAATGAATGTTTATTTTTAAAAAAAACTTAATCGCCGATATTTATTTTATATGAATTTAATTTAATTTATAAAAGTGATTATATAAATATAAAATTGTTTTGACAATTTAATTTATTAAGTTTGAATTTCATCAAAAAAAATAAAAAATTTTGTAACGTTGAGTTGAAAAATATTCAAAAAAAAAAAAAAAAAAGAGGGAACCGGATGTATCTCTATGGTTTAATAAATTTTCATAGAAATTCAATATGGCCGACCATTCTATTATAATTCTTAGAGGAAATTAATCGTTTTATATTTCCTTTTATTTAAATTTTTATTCTTTTACATTATATATATTTAAATTCTATTTCGCCTTTATATTGTAGTGTTTTTCTTATTGTTAAAAAAAAAAAACAAATATATTTAAATTATTTTAAATGTTTACATTATGATGTAGCCACGTTAAGTTAAATAATTATACTTTGTAAAATTATTATTTTACAATAAAATTACGACTTTATTCTCATAATCGGTAATTGTATGATTTTATTTCTAATTTTTTTTTACTAATGATTAGAGTGTACTTTATTTTCTTTACGTAAATTTTTACTATTTATTTCTATACGTGACATAATTAGTAAAATATTTTCCTCTTTACCAAGATAAATATATATAATTTTTTATTTAATTTATTTTTAATTTTTAACAACGTATTATGGTACCATTTTACTTAAAATATTTAATTTTTATAATTTATTTCCATAAATTAATTTACTAATTTAGAAAAGAAAGTATTGTTTGTTTAAGTATTAGTAAATTACACTTTCATACAGTGATATAGTAAATGTACAGTAATCTCTTGATAGTATAAATAATATAATTCGAAAAGTTTTAAACAAAAAATAAATTTACCACTACATTTATTTATTTAGTTAACTGCATTTATTGACATTTTTCTTATTTTCAGTTGTTGTTAAAAGTTTTATACAAAATGTCATCTTCTGCAATTTATATATTAGATGTTAAGGGAAAGGTTTTAATTTCAAGAAATTATAGAGGGGATATCGACTTGGGTGTTATAGAAAAATTTATGCCTTTATTAATGGAAAAAGAAGAAGAAGGATTATGTACACCTTTAATACATACAACAGAGTGCACATTTGCATTCATAAAATATAATAATTTATACATAGTTTCTACGACAAAAAAAAATGCCAATATTGCTTTGGTTTTTGTTTTTCTTCATAAAATAGTACAGGTAAAATATATTTTTTTAAAAGTTTTTCTTTATTATTAAAATAATTTTTTTAATTTATCTATTTAATGTATGCAATTTCAAAACTTTAAAAAAATTTTTTATATAAATTGTTTATTTTAAGGTCATGATAGAATATTTTAAAGAGTTAGAAGAAGAAAGTATAAGGGACAATTTTGTTGTAATATATGAGCTTCTTGATGAGCTTTTGGATTTTGGATATCCACAAACTACAGACAGTAAAATTTTACAAGAATATATTACTCAAGAGGGTCACAAATTGGAAATTCAACCGAGAATTCCAATGGCAGTTACAAATGCAGTATCATGGAGGTCTGAAGGAATTAAATATAGAAAAAATGAAGTTTTTCTAGATGTCATTGAATCAGTGAATATTCTTGTAAGATATAATTCAAACTTTTTCTATTATATTTTTTAAAAATTAATGTAAAATCCTTTATGTTGTGAACTTATTTAAAATTTTTATTTTTAATTTCAGGCAAATGCTAATGGAAACGTTCTTAGGAGTGAAATAGTTGGTGCTATTAAAATGAGAGTTTATTTATCGGGTATGCCTGAATTAAGGCTAGGTTTAAATGATAAGGTGTTGTTTGAAAGCACTGGTAGGGGTAAATCAAAATCTGTTGAGTTAGAAGATGTCAAATTTCATCAATGTGTGAGACTTTCAAGATTTGAAAATGATCGCACCATATCGTTTATACCACCTGATGGAGAATTTGAATTGATGTCTTATCGACTGAATACTCATGTGAAACCCCTAATATGGATTGAATCAGTAATTGAAAGACATGTTCACAGTAGAGTTGAATATATGATTAAAGCAAAATCACAATTTAAAAGGAGATCAACTGCCAATAATGTTGAAATAGTTATTCCTGTTCCTGCTGATGCAGATTCTCCAAAATTTAAGACAACAGTTGGAAGTGTTAAATATGCTCCTGAACAAAATGCAATTACATGGACCATAAAATCATTCCCAGTAAGAAGTTATTAGCAAATATTGTTAATGTAAATTTAAGACCTAATTTTTTAAAATAAATAAACTGTTAATTTTTTTTTTTTTTACAGGGAGGCAAAGAATACTTGATGAGAGCGCATTTTGGTCTTCCCAGTGTCGAGGGAGAAGATTCAGAAGGCAAGCCTCCTATACAAGTTAAATTTGAAATCCCTTATTTTACCACATCCGGGATACAAGTTAGATATCTAAAAATTATTGAAAAAAGTGGTTACCAAGCATTGCCCTGGGTTAGATACATAACTCAAAATGGTGACTATCAGTTAAGAACAAACTAATGTTGAATGATGAAGTTGAAAATTTAGCAGGATAATTATCATTCCGAAAAAATTGAAGACAGTTTAAAATCCGAAACAAAACTTATTGTTTGGTTTTCTTGATAATACAGTTATTAAAAAATAAAATTTTAACCTATTATTAAACTTATTGGTTGAAAGTTTCAATCCCTATTAAACATCTAATGTTAAAAAAATCATTTTAAATTGGAAGTAAAGAAAATACTTTTTTATTCCAAGATCATTGTTTGCTATTTTTTTTTTAATAATTTGCTTTCAATTGAAATCCTTATTTTAACAAAAATTCATTCCTAATCCTCCTATTAACATTTTTTTTTCAAATTCATAAGTTAAAATTAAAATTTTAATATCAATTATTCTTTTTCTTTACTTATTAATTCATTGAAATTAACTAAGTATCTTTCACTATAATTAAAAAATTGATGAATAAAATAAAATTATATTAAAAAAATAATTACGTGATTATTTTAAATAATTGTTCCAGAGAAACTATAAAATTCATATTATCTCAGACAAATAGATTTTAATTAATTAAAAAAAAAATAGACAGTACTACAATTTTAATATACACATAGGATGTAAGCAGTAATAATTCCGTTAAAAATTGCCATTTTTAACAAATTGATAAAAGTAAAATTTTATGTACTTTACAGTAAATTTATTTTTGTTAATTCAATAAAAATCGTTAATAATAATAATGATGAAATAAGCAGAAATTCCCTTGCAAAAAAAAACAACCACTATTAATTTTAAAGGGTGTTTACTTTTATCATAAACCAGTTAAGAAAAAGTATATAAAATTGATAAAACCATCTGGATGCAATTTCAAGTCGCGGAGGCATAAAAATCTAAATATTATTTGTACTTTTTTGTTCGACTAGGCCAATTATTTGTGAGAATGCCGTTAAAAAGTAAAATAAATAATTACATTAAAAATGAAATTTTATTTTCTTATATTAGTTTTAAAAAATTAAATTATTTAAAAATGCGAAATTACTTGCTTTTTAAAGTCAAATATACGTAATGATTTATTGTAAATCATAAAAGCGTCCTTTTTTTCTAACAGTGACGCACACCCATTTATGTTGATGTGGACTCGTCCGCGGAACAGTCCATTTTATGCTTGGCCCGCGCTCTGTGTCTGGCAATCGTTGTCTTTCGTCGGTTGTTTAGATATATATTTTTTATTTAAAAAATAGTTTATCTTTATGAAATAATGTTTTTATTGACTTGAGTGTTTTTAAAATTGCAGTAATACAATCTGTGCTAATGTGTTATCAATATTTTTTTATTTAACAGTGATATATAGAAAAAAAAAAAAAAATTAGATAAATATTCATGGGGTAAGTGTATACTGTGCTTAAACGATCAAAACAAACCGTATCAAGCTCAACAACTCTATAACTTTCTTTTCGTTTAACAATTATTTCATCTTTAGGGTATTTTTTTTTTATTGGTATTGCTTAATGTTTTTTTTTTTTGGCGGATGTGATGATGAAACCTTTACGTTAGCATTATTATAAATTTTTGAAAGAGTCTTAAGCCGACATCTCATACGATTTTTTGGTAATTGCTTAAAAATTTTCAGACTAAAATTTTTTTGTAATATTAATAAATTAACTAACTGTTGATACATGTTATTTTCCTTCTAAACATTGCCGATTTATTTAACCCAACGAGACAATTTTTTAAGGTCAACAAAGTATGCTTTACTACAATGCACACTATTCTGTAGTTTGTTTAATGTAAACAATGTTTAGCTTATATTAAACGGGATTTTGGTTAAATAATTTAATGAACTGCAGCAAAGAATGTAAGGTCCTTTTTTATATTTATTTCAACGAATATTTCGGCCTTATGGATGAAAGCTACCATGTTTGACATGCTCACCTGTATTGATTTCTATGCATCATATTTTGTGAGCAAGAACACTGCCACGTTGCCAAATTGAAGACATGTTTCTATAAATTTAAGATGGCTACTCTAAATTTATGTTATACTGCAGAAATTTTCAATAACTCGTAAAAATAAAATGTCGTTAAATTGTATCCGAAATCTTTCCGAGTCTTTTGAAATGAAACATTTTTAATTACGCAGTTCGAAATAAAATTTTACGAATGTTTTTAATCGTACATATCATTTAATTAAACTGTGTGCCTTTACATTTACCAACGTTTCATAAATCGTTTTTAATTTATTTATTTTTAATAACTGTTTACTTGAAATTGTTATTTTGACAAAGGTTGCGTTTGTACGTGTGAATTACCCTCGTTCGATCAAATTTACAAATTGAAAATAAAGAAAGAAAGAATACAAAATTATTATTCGACATTTTATGGTAATTAAGGAAAACGGTTAATAATTAATTAATTGTAAAACCTGATAATACTTAAGTGTTTTGGTTTCTGCACTTTTACCGTTCTATTTATGTTAAAAATATTCTTGGCAACATTGGATCTGGGACGAAGTGTATTTTTCACGACATATTATTTTTATAATATGTTAAACATGAATTTGTTGCTGAAATCATCTTATTTCGTTTAATGCAGTCATGGCATCTTTTCAGTGATCAAAAAATTAGTTGAGTTGAATTTCTCGAATTTATTTTTCTTATGAGTATTTACCGATTAAGTAAGAGTATGCGTATAATTATGTGTATCTCTTCGTCGTATTCGTTGTTTTTTTTTTTTTTCTTATTAGTTTTTTATAATTAATTTGAGTGTGCGTCCTATTCTATAAAAAAAAAAAAAAAAAAAAAAAAAAAAAAATTATTTTTAAAGGCTACTACTTTATTTAAATTATTAAAAAGATTGATTTTATAGTTTATGTGTTCTTTTTTTTAGAAAACAATACAATGAAATATTGCTTGAGTGTGATGTTAAAATGCATTTTGGTTTTGTATTTTTGGAACTTATCTTTAATCGCGTATCCCACTTGATCGTGACTTTGGATTAATCTTTGGGAAGGTATGTTGGGTTACAAAATTTATAAAAATATTTGATTAAACAAAAAAAAAAAAGATTCTTAAAAAATTTACAAACAATCAAAAGGTATTTGAAAAATTTATTTCCAGATGAAAGTTTTATATTTTTTTATATGTGCAAGAGTGTAAGTGATGTTTTTAAAAAGAAAATTCATTCTTGTTCGCATATAAATAAAATAATAAAAACAAAAGACTAAATTATTAATATTTATGACTCTGTAATACTACTACTATTTAAATTTTTAATAAATACATAATCTGAGATAGATTAAATGAACCTTTATTTATATATAAACTTTAAGAAATAATAATTATAATTGGTTTGGTCTTTCCCTTTACTCTGTAAATTACGAAGCATTATTTTCATTAATCTTTTTTAAAATATTTTATTGCTTTTTCACATTTTCCAGATTTTTTTTGTGTTGTGATCTCATTGCTGCTGTTAATTTGAAAAAAAAATTGTACAAAATGTTTATGCGATATAATTTTAAAATTTTAACCTTAAAAAAAATTCTTTATTATTATTTTTTTTTTTTTTTTTTTTTAGATAAGTTTTAAACTGATCACTTACATCTTGCTATAGTAAAAATAATTTACTGCTATGAAAAGACTTCTAGATGAAGGACCAACATCAGGCCCTGGGCCTGGAAAGGAAGGATTATATGCGAGAGCAACACCTATGTCTCCTCCTCATCATTTGCTCGGAAATAATATTTCATCTGGTACGCAATCAATGATGACAAATGTGCAAAGTGTGCTTCATTTAACAACTAATCATCCCACACAGCCTGGAAGTTCAGCTCCCAACATAATCAGGTAACTACATATATAGTAAATTTGCATTTTACTTATACTCATGTATAAAATAATATTAAAAATTTTTGCACTTTTTATTTTAGTGGTCAGCCATCGAATGTTGCGCAGCATACAAATCCACCTATTCATTCCACTGGATCTTTGCAAAATTATTCGAAAGATGGTGGTAATCCTGGTCTTGCTACAGTTCAATATCAGTATAGTGCTTTACCATTGCCTACTAAAAATAATGTACATAATTTACCAGGTCAACCTCATGCAGCTCAACCTCTTCATTTAAGACATAAGGTAAAGGTGGTTATTCTATTTTAGTCTTAATGAAAATGTCTTATTTTAAAAAAAGTATTGGTTTAAATGAAAAAAATTTCCAAATTTAAGGTTCATGCCAGCAGCGGTGTATCTTCTCAAGGTCCAGGTACTCCTCCCAGTGGCACACCTCAATCAAATTTTCAAAAATTAAAGGTGGAGGATGCCTTATCTTACTTGGATCAAGTGAAATTAAAGTTTGGTAGTGAGCCTCAGGTTTATAATGATTTTTTGGATATAATGAAAGAATTCAAATCTCAAAGGTTGGGATTGAAATAAATTTAAAATAATGTAACATTACCGCCTTTTTTACTAAACTGAATTATTAAATTTAAAACTTAAATTTTCCAGTATTGATACGCCTGGTGTGATCCAAAGAGTTTCGAATTTATTTAAAGGACACCCAGAATTAATTGTTGGCTTCAACACGTTTTTACCTCCTGGTTATAAAATAGAAGTTCAATCGAACGAACAGGTTCGTAATATTAAATTTTTTTAAAAATAGTTTTAGTAGTTTTTACCATCAATTTTTTTTTTTTAAATTAATAATATGAAAAACGTTTTACTTTTTAGGGGTTTGCATTTCAAGTTTCTGTGTCGATGCCAAGTCCAACAGCTGCAACAAACACTCTTATACAAACTTCTCATCATTCTATACCAAGCGGGGGGCAAAATGATATGATTCCTTTACTCCAAAACGTTTCTAAGCACAATAGCAATAATTTAAATTCACATTCTGGTCGAGGAACTCCTCCTCAACAAACCAATGCTCATTATTCACATCAACAAACATCGGCGGGAACCAACAATATTTTACGGGGCCCTTCTCCGGCTCCTGGTCCTTCTCATTTGTCTATAACTCCGGTTCGTTAACTATATACCGTTAACAGTTGTTTTTAAATTGGATTTTTTTTTTCACTTTTAATTTTTTTTTTTTTTTCCATTATTTTAGCAACAAGCACATTTAGCAGTTTCTCATGCTTTAAGCAATGTAGATTCAGTTCATCCTACTCCTCAAAGTCAACCAGTTGAATTTAATCATGCTATTAATTATGTTAATAAAATTAAGGTTGGTTTTTTTGTTTTGGCGCGTTTTTTTTTTTTTTTTTTTTTTTTTTGACGTTTCTTTAAAATCACCGTCAAATACGGTTTTTAATAAGCAATCATAGGCAAAATAAATTTGATTGTTTTCATTTGTAGAATCGATTTCAAGGTCAGCCCGATAAATATAAAAGGTTTTTAGAAATTTTACACACTTACCAAAAAGAGCAAAGAAATATTAAAGAAGGGACCAGCGGTCCTGGTAAACATTTAACGGAGGCTGAAGTTTATTCGCAAGTATCTAAATTATTTGAACATCAAGAAGATTTGCTAGCGGAATTTGGTCAATTTTTGCCTGATGCAACCAGTCACTTGGTAAATTTCATTTTATTTTTTTTACATAAAAATTTAATGATGGAATTACACTTTTAAATATATATTATTTCCGTTTTAATTGTAGAATTCTAGAAATGTTCCCGGAGTAGAACATCAAAACATTGTGAGAAAGTCGGCCAATATGAAATCATCAAACTACGCATTAAACGTTTCTAGAGATTCAAATTATATTCAAACCGTCCCCGATAGGGAAGCACCTAGAGGTCCATTGGTAGGTTCGGGACCTGTAAATAAACAATCTCATTCTCAATTGAAGAGGTCTTCAAGTTTTTCCGCCTCTGGCATACAGAAAAAACACAAAATTGCTTCTTGGAGAGATGTTACTTTGGCGGATGCAGCTAAATACGCTAGTTTAAGTGATTATGGATTTTTTGATAAAGTAAGCATAACCTCTATTTTAAAAAATTTCTTTCATCATTTGATGGTCGGAATATTAATTTATAAAAATAAAAATTTAGGTTCGAAAGTCGTTGAAAAATCAAGAGGTTTATGAAAATTTTCTAAGATGTTTAACTTTGTTTAATGAAGAAATCATTTCGAAAAGTGAACTGGTTCAGTTGATCACTCCTTTTCTCGGACGATTTCCTGAACAATTGCGTTGGTTTAAAGATTTCGTAGGGTTTTCCGAATCAAGTGGCATTCAAAATACCGTCAATCACAACATCAACGTAGAGCACGTTCCCAATAACTTGAGACAGGATCGTCCCACGGGAGATTTAGCCATGGAAATCGGTAATTATTTTAATTAAGATTTTAAGTTTAAATTATTTCGTTAGACGCCATTTTCGTCACATTTTACGATTTTTAGATTACTCTACGTGTAAACGTCTTGGTGCGAGTTATTGTGCGCTTCCAAAGTCTTATGTACAACCTAAATGCTCCGGACGTACTGCTTTATGCAAAGAAGTTTTAAACGATACATGGGTTTCTTTTCCGAGTTGGTCTGAAGATTCAACTTTTGTGACGAGTAGGAAAACACAATATGAAGAATATATTTATAGATGCGAAGACGAAAGATTTGAGGTAATAATCATCAATTTCATTATATAAATTTTTTAAAATAATTGTTTATATTTTATTTTATTTTATTTTTTTTACAGCTGGATGTAGTTATTGAAACAAATGGAGCTACCGTCAGAGTTTTGGAAGCTGTTCAGAAAAAAATATCACGAATGTCTCCAGAAGAAGCTCAGAAATTTAGATTAGATGACACATTAGGAGGTACTAGTCCTACAATCCACGTTCGTGCACTAAAAAGGTATTTTATTATAATATTTTTGCATTTTTTTTATAAAAATTAAAACATTAAAAAAAAATTCTATCTATTACGTTATAGGGTTTACGGAGATAAAGCTTCGGATATGCTTGACGGTTTGAAAAAGAATCCACTAGTTGCTATACCGGTAGTATTAAGAAGGCTTAGAGCAAAGGAAGAAGAATGGCGAGAAGCTCAAAAAGGTTTTAATAAATTATGGAGAGAACAAAATGAAAAATATTATTTAAAAAGTTTGGATCATCAGGGAATGAATTTTAAACAGAGTGATTTAAAGGCTCTTCGATCAAAGGGTTTATTTAATGAAATTGAAACTTTATTCGATGAGGTAACGACAATTAATTAATTTTTTTTTTTTTTTTATCATTACCTGATATTTTTATATTAAATTAATTGCGTTTCATGTTTCAGCGGCACGAGCAAAACGAAGAGAATAATTTGGATTCCGGTCAAATAATTACCGGTCCTCATTTAATTTTACAATATAAAGATAAAAGCATTCTCGATGATGCTGCTAATTTACTAATTCATCATGTGAAAAGGCTGAGCGGAATTCAAAAAGATGACAAACATAAAATGAAATTAATATTAAGACATTTTATTCCTGATTTATTTCATCATACGAGGCAAGAGCTGAGCGATGATGAAAAAGATAGTTTCGGTAAGTTTTTATTATTATTATTATTATTGTCGGCTCTGTTACAATCGGAATTTTGTAAGTTTTTTTTTTTTTAATTTTGTGTTTCCTTTTGTGTTAATTTCCACAGATGATAAAGATGATATGGAGGTGTTTACATCTTTAGGCAACGAAAAGAATTCCGAGCAACTTAGTAGTAACAATAACGAAACAAAACCTATCATAACTCTGGGAAAAGAAGAAAAGCCAAAAAATAATACAAATCTTTGTAACGGAGGAGGACCTTTATCATCGAAACCCGACGTACCAGCACCACCACCACCACCACCACCTAATTCTGGAATACTTGCAATGAAAAAAGAACCGGAAGAACATTCAATAATTCACAATGGAAACTCTTATCATCCGGTAAACATAATGTATTTTCGTACGGGCAATCCGTCGCTTGCCCCTTTCAGAGTAAAATAATAATAATAAAATTTTAATTGATTAATTTTTTTTACTACTTAGGACGAAAGTTATTCGTTATTCATGGCAAATAATAATTGGTATTTATTTCTTCGACTCCACCACATTTTGTGCGAAAGATTGACAAAGATGTACGAAAGAGCTTGCATTTTATCAGAAGAAGAAGCCAAATATAAAATGGATAGAAAAGAATCTACTAGTCTTGCATTGAGATTAAAACCGAGAAGTAAGACTCTTGTTCACTTATTTATTTTTTTTTGTTTTTTTGTGGAACCTAAAAAGTTACGTCAGATCATTCAATAATTTTAGGTGAAATTGAAGTCGAAGATTATTATCCGGCATTTTTAGAAATGATAAAAAATGTTTTGGACGGAAACATGGATAGCAACGCTTACGAGGATACCCTGAGAGAAATGTTTGGAATTCACGCTTATATCGCCTTTACGATGGATAAAGTCGTGACGTATGCCGTGCGTCAGGTATATAATAATAATAATAATTTTTTTGTGTTTACTAAAATCTTGTTTTTAATAAAAATGATTAATTTTAATTTTAATTAATTCAGCTTCAGCACATCGTTTGCGACGAAGCACCGCAGGAATGCATTGAAATATTTCATCAGGAATTGAAAAGAGGTGGAGCCGGTGGATTTTGTTCGACGGCTCACCAAAGAGTTCACGCAGAAATGGCTTATCAAAAACGTTTAGAACAAATTCTTGCCGATGAAAATTGTTTCAAAATATATATCGTGAGTTTATTAATTTTATCATCATGTCGTATCGTTGAATTTTTAATTTTTATTATTATTAATTTTATTAATTTTTCAAACAGTATAAAATTGATTGCAAAATCACTTTCGAGTTGTTGGATAACGAAATGGAAGAACCCGAACCGGCAAATGAATCGGAAAAATGGGCGAATTACGTCAACAATTACGCTTCGAGCATTCGTAATAATCCGGACGATGATGAACACAGTTTAGAAGTAAGAATAAGATGATTTAATAAATGAAAACGTGAAAAGTCTCGTCAATTTTAAAATTATCATTATTATTCGTTGTTTCCTCCTTTCAGTTGAATGACTTGCCGAGGTCGGAAAAACCAGTATTCTTGCCCCGAAATGCAAGGTCATGGAGAAAATTGTACGCGAAGCAAAAATTCGGTTCGAAGCAAGAGGGAGAGTCGGGAAAAGACAAAGACGCGGATAAAAATAATGAGAAATCGGAGGAGGAGGATGGAATTAAAAGAGAAGAGAAAAGTCCTCCCTCTCGCATTGTCGTACCTGAGGTCGAATCCTGCATATCGGCCTACGACAATTCCGAGTGTCGATTCAATCTTAATTCTTATAAAATATTATTTGTTATAAATAAAGAGAATTTGTTGTATAAAAAAAATGCTTTCAGCAAAGCAAAAAAAGTGAGTGTGAAAGAAAAAAGTTTTTTTTTTTTTTTTTTCATTAATTTTTATGCTTAAAAATTTACGGTTGGTTTAATTTTATTATTAATAATTTTAATTATTATTATTATTGTTGTTGTTGTTGTTGTTGTTTTCAGTCTCATCCGTGGTTGACAAAAAGTAAGAATAAAAAATTTAAAGCGTGGAACGATAGATGGGTGGAATGTAACGTTGCCGATCAGGAATTGAAAAATTGTACGGATTGGCTCATGGGAAAAGGAAGTGACGTAGTGCCCAACAGGACGAAAATATTAACGGACAACGATCTGACAAAACCTCCTTATGTTCCTTATAATCGTTATAAAGTTGAAAAGTTGGAGTGAAATGTGTGTGTGTGTGTGTGTGTTTTGGTGGTTGTATATTTTTTTTTTTTTTGGAATTTGTCACAGTGCACACTTGGCTATTATTATTATCATCATTCTCCCCCCCTCTCCCTCTCCCTTTCCCTCCGTTTAAAAAGAAAAAAATTTACAAATTAATTTTTTTTTTTTAAAAAAAACTTTACTCAATAGTTTGTCGATACAAAGGATCGAATGCTTATTATTTTATTTTTATTTTTTAATTATTATTATTATTATTATTTTTTTTTTTAAAAATGCTGTAACGTTTTCTATTTTTTTGAATTCCGAAAAATTTCATTCGGGTGAAAATGAAGACAAAAGAAGAAGAGAAGAGAAAAGGGGGGAAAAAGTAAAAGGAAAAAACTTTAAAAAAGAATATAAATAATAAATAAATAAATAATTTTTTTTTTTTTTAAACTGTGTATATGAAAAATTAAGTGCTTTAAATTCAGGTGGTGAAATAAGCAAAAATGAAACAGTATAAGAAAAAACTTGATAAATTTTATTTTATACTTGAAAGTTTATGTACATAATATATACAGGAAAAGAAGAAAAAAAGAAAAAAAAATTAAGCCAGTTGGTACAAAAAATATCTTTTCAAGATTTTATATTTTTGAAAAAGAGAGTATTAGGTTATTATAAAATGTGAAAACAAAAACAAAACATAAAAAAGGGGCGTTGACCTCTTAAAAATATAAAAAAAAAAACTTTAAAAAAAAAAAAAAATTTTTTTAACTTTTTTAAAAATAATTTTAGTAAAAAAAAAAATTAATAATAATAATAATAAGGTTTAACGAACGACCTTATTATTATTATTATTATAAAAAATAATATTTAATATTATTATTATTTTTATTATTATTATTATTATTATTATTAATTTTTTGTTTTCTTTTTTAATATCAGTTGGACAATTTAAATTAATGAGTATAATTTTTTTTTTTTTTTTGTTTTTTTTTTTGAATAATGATGAAAAAACGTAAAGTTGTAAAGCTGTTATGAGTATATATTGTACAGTACATTTAAAAAAAAAAAAAAAACTCATTTTTCTTTTCTTTTTTTTCTTTTTTTTTTTTTTCAATTCATTTTACTTTGCCAAAATAAAAATATTTTTCTTTTAAAAAAAAAAAAAAAAATATACATAAAAAAAAAAAAAAAAAATTGATTTGGTTTTTGATATCTTTCCTTGTTTTTAAATTTAAATTCAAATTCCTTTAAACCTGTTACTATTATTATTATTATTATTTATGTAGATGAGTATTATTTACATAAGTTAAACGTATTTTTATCATTAATATTTTACGAATTGTAATTAAAATAATAATTTTCTTAATATTATTACCCGAAATTATGAAAAATATGAGCCAAAAAAAAATGGCGGTTTTTGTTAGACTGGGTTTACTTTTGGGTTACCATGGCGACAGCCTATCATTAATAAGTTGAACGGCCCGCAGCGCTGTCGTTTTTACAATTCTTTACTACTACAGGTAATTAATTAAAATCAAAATGGGTGACAGAATGTACAAGTTATATATTTTTAATAATGATTTTTCAATAATATAATATCAAATAGTATGATGTTGTTTGAAAAATGTCATATGAGAAGCTTTTGGATCAAACAGAAGATGGTGTAGATCCTAGAGTTCAAGTAATTTATATTATTTTTTAAATAACATTACTGTTTTTTTTTTTCTATTCTTTATTATTATTATTTATTACATGCCTTTTTTTTTTAAAAAAATTAATTAAACTTTTTTATTATTATTTTTAGGTTGAATTAGAAAGACTGAATAGCTCAACTGATGAAATAAATAAATTAGAAGTAGATTTAGATGAAGCTAGAAATCAATTTCGTCAGTTGTTGCAGGAAAGTACTAGTCAAATTGAGAGCTGTGCAAAAAAGTTAGGAAATTGTATTGTTAAAGTTAGGCCTTATTATGATGCTAGGTTTCAAGCAAAGGAGGTAAAATAAAACATTGTTAAAGTTATAAAAAGCTTTACTTTAAAGCAAAAGAGAAATTTGACTTTTTTTTTTATAATGTTGTAGGCTTTGCAAGAAGCTCAAAAGGCAGCTGCAAATTTTGAAAGAGCCAATTCAGCTCATGCAGCCGCAAAAGAAATGGTGTACTTAGCCGAAGAAGGTTTGAAAGCAGAGGGTAGAACTTTTGATCATGCTTGGCAGGTTTGTTTAACTTTTTTTATTTGTGGTAACTAAAAATAATTAAATTAATCTTCCTTCTAAAAATAATTTTAAGTACTTACTAATGTAGTTTATTGTGAACAAAGTTTTTTTTATAATCAAATAAATTTAATAAATTTATTTTGTGTAACTCTTCCAGGAAATGTTAAATCATGCTACAATGAGGGTGAATGAATCTGAAGCAGAAAGAACAAAATGTGAAACAGAGCACAAGAAAACATCGCAAAATTATCAACTTATCGAAATGAAAGTTTGTGTCCTGCAAAAAGAATTAAAGCGAGCAATAACTAAATCAAGGTACGAATAATTATTTCTAATTTAGAAAATATTTTATAAATGTTTCAAAACTTTATTTTAATTCATATTTTTTTATTTTAAAAAAACTTTTCAATTTGTTTTACATACATGTTATTTTTTTTTTCTAGGCCTTACTTTGAATTAAAAATTTACTACAATCAACTTCTTGAAAAGCAAAAAGCAAAGGTTAAAAGTTTAGAAAAGCAAGTTGCAGATGTTAAATTAACTTATTCTCATACTCTTAAAAATTTGGAACAAATCAGTGATGAAATTCATAGGGTAAAGTCACAAAATAACTCTCTCTCTCTCTCTCTCTCTCTCTGTTTAAGTATTTATGTTAATTAAATTATGGAAAAATTACTTAATAAGTTGGTATTTGTTAATTATTGTTTAGACCAGGCAAAAAAATAGACAAGTTAGAAGTATAGAATCTAAAGCGCCACCGGATGGTATGGAATCAGATAATAGTTTTCCGTGTGAAATTTGTCGTTTAAAAAATATATCAGGCTGTGCCAAAAGTTACAAATGCTTCCACGCGAATCGAAATAACGATAATAAATTAGAATCGGAAATGGAATCAGATGGAAACACCGATAATTGTAATATTCGAGAAACAAATAAAATATTATCACCTGTATCGGAAACTCATTCGAGTAATCCAACCTATTCGTCAAATACGAGAGTTTCTTCTCAGCCTGATACCGATACATGGTCAGAATATTCTGATGATAATTTAGAAGGTAAATTTAAATTTTTCCTTTTTTTTTCTTTTCAAAAACAAATAAAAATTTAATTAACGTCATTTTTTTTTTAGCTTCTCGTAATAGTGAAAATGAATCATCATTAACAGGACCGCCCGATACAGAATCCGAAGAGGAAACTTTTAAATTTTCCGAAACTCATAATTTCAATGGTGGATCCGTATCTCGCGATGTGAGAAATTTTTAAATTTTTCTTTTACTTTTTCCTGATGTGATTGAAAAAAATAAATTTTAATTTGTTTTTTTTCCTCCCCCCCCCCAGAACAACATAATTTCGGATATAATGGGATCCGGGGATTCAAAATCGAAATCAAACGAAGTATTTACCGATGGTATTTTCGGTTCGAAAAATGTAAAAATTTTCCAAGGAGACGATGATGATTTGGAAAAAAATTTCAATTCATCATGTTTCGAAGGAATCGGAATATGCAGTTTTCCAATCGATACGGAATTAAATATTGATTTTACTAAAAAAAAATCACAAGTTCCTGAAATAAGTTCGACTCAAAGTTGGACGGAAATCAAATTACATTCGCCGGAAGAAGAAATTTTTTCGACCGTTAAATGCGTTCGCTCTGGTAAAAATAAAAATGAACTCGAAGAAGAATTCGATATTCCTTATTCACCTTTGACCACAGAACCGGAAGGTGATAATCCGAATACGTTGAAAAAAGCCGGTAAAAATTTGAACGAAGATTCGTTTAACGGGAGTTTAATGGCGAAAAATGAAAATTTAAACGACATCGAAGGCTACGGTTCGAAAAGTTTGAAAGGAACACCGAAAAAGCTCAACATTCGAAGGCAAAGCCTGGATGTTTTATGGAACAGTGCTGCTGGAGAAAAATTCAAAGAGATTTTATCTCAGAGCATAATGAAATTGAATATATCATCGCTCACGGAAAAAAAATTAAACGAGGGGAAATTTATCGACGAAACGGAATTTACTCGGGTAAGTAAGTTAAAAAAAAAAAAAATTAATTTTTAAATCTATTCAATACCACAGCCAATCAATCAATCGATCAATTATTGTTTTTAATTTCCAAAATAAAATTTACAGTTGAAAAATTCATGTAAAAATGAGAAAGAAACCGCGGATTCGGATTGCGATTCAAACGCGGGTAATCAATTCGGTATAAATTTATTCAATAAGAAAAATAAAACGGAAAACGATGGGAAAACATTTTCGAACGATAAGAAAAAGTGTAAAAATCAAGAATCACTTCCGGTCCACATCGGAAATTTCATATCGAGAAAAGAAAAATTATTTATTAAAAAACCTCCTAATTCGTTGGAAAAAACATTGAATAATTTAAACGCCGATGAAGAATCAAATTCCGATAGCGAAAGCATAACTTGGTAAATAATAATAATAATAATAATAATAATAATAATAATAATAATAATCATGGCCTCATGTTTTTTTTTTTTTTTTTTCTCTCCATTAAATTAAATAATTTATTTTATTAATTTTATTAAAGCTCCGACATGCTCACGGATGAACAATTATCATCATTAATACTGGATAGAGATCTTGCAGAAATTTATCAGGATATAATTTAAGTGTGTCCAACATAACAAAACAAAACAAAATTTTGTTTTTTACCAACCAAAAAAAAAAAAAAAATTTGTAAATTATTATTTATTATTATTTTAAATGTAAAAAAAATATTTTTAAAATGTTTTTTAATTATTATTATTATTATTATTATTAATTTTTATCAAGAAAAGATATAAATATATATTTATTTATATACGAATGCGAATTGTAAAGAAATTATTAATTTGTCTAAACTATAAAAAAGTTTAATTTTGTAACAAAATTTTTAAGAATTTATTTTTATTTATTTATTTATTTATTTTTTTGAACGTAATAACGCACGTTAAAATTTTCGTGGTTTATTAATAAATAAATAAAGAAAGAAAAAAAGAAAATGGCGGATCGACAATTAAATTAAATTATTTTCGGCTCAAAAATCGTTGGATTATATTCGTTTATTCTTTTTAATTTTAATATTTCGTAACATTTTAAATAATAAGATAAAATATTGTGATGAATACACTTAAAATTAGCAATTCAGATGAGATAAAGACAAAAAAAAAAAATTCGTCTGCTATGCGTAATCAAATAAATTTTATTTAAAATAAATCATCAAAAATGTTATTAAGCTTATAATAATTAATAGTTGTTAATCATTATTTATTTATTTATTTATTTATTAGCACGTTAGACGATTAGATAAAAGAAAAAAATGTTATTAAATTTATTATTATTATTATTATTATTAAAAAATAATAATTATTGCATAATAATAATAACTAATAATAATTTGAAAGTTAGTAATTGCCTAATTAAAAATAAAATTTTTGTATAAAAATTGCTTCGCAAAATAAATTCCAAATATAATTTATTTATATCGATTTTAATAATAATAATAATAATAATAATAATATAGCGTTACCTAGATAATAATAAGCTTTAATTAAAAAATTCTTTTTAGGTGTGTTCACAATGTAAAAAAAAAAAAAAAATTTTAAATTTAAAGCAATAAAATTTTTTATCCCATCGTTTTTAATTAAATAATTTTATTTATTTATTTATTTCGATTTTATTTTTTCGGTTAATATTATTATTTAAATAAATTTTTATTTGTAAAGTTAATAATAATAACGATTTCGATATTAAAATGATGATAATGTTAATTAAATAAAAAAAAAAACGAATGATGATAAATACTCACTCACTTACTACTATAATAACGAAAAAAATAACCACAAATAATTAATTAATTATTTTGTTATGAAAATAATAATAATAATAAATAAATAAAATTATAATTTTTATTTTTATAGGGATTCCTTCCTAAAAAAAAAAAAAAAAAAAAGTAAAAAAAATTATTTTTTTTATTAATAATAAAATAAAACGCGGTTTGTCCATTCCAAAAAAAATTTTCTACCATTTATTTATTTATTAATAATTAAAATTTATTATTATTAAATTTTACTAACAATTTTTTTATTAATGTAAATTTAAATTAAAATTGTATTTAATTAATTAATTTATTTATTTATTTATTTACAAATTTTTTATTTAAAAAAAAAAAAAAAAAAAAACGCATAATTAATATTTTTATAGATAGGAAAGTACTCATCGATGAATAAATAAAAAAAATATTTAATTAATTTATTTATTTATAAATAATAATAATAATAATAAATTGTTTATTTATAAAACAAAGAGTATATATATTAAAGTTATTTTCAAGGTCAACGGTTAACGACTCCATTATTATTAACGTAATTTAAATTAAATTTAAATTTTTTTTCATTGTGATTTGGGTAAACGAGTCGTTTTTATAATAATAATAATAATAATAATAATAATAATAATAATAATAATAATTGAAAAATTTATTAAAAATTTTAATTAAATGTTATTATTACATTATAATAATAAATAAATAAATAAATAAATAAATTTGTTTTGATTGATTAAATTGATTTTTTTTTTTTTTACTATTATCATTGTTCTTATCAATACTACACGCGATTAAATTTATTTATTAGAATAATAATAATTTTAAATAATAAGAACGAAATTAATTTATATATTTTGAAAATATTAAGTAATAATAATAATAATAATGATTGGTTTAGAAAAACACAAAGACACGATATTAAAACAAGAGTTAGGCCCTTGTAAGATTCTTTCCATGCCAACCCGACCAGTTTGTGACGTAATTTTTAACATTATGCATTGATATTGTTGATTCTATTCAAAGAGAACATTACAAGTGAGTTTTTGAGTGAGTTTTTTTTTTTTTTTTAATAAATTAGTAGTAGTAGTAATAATAATAATAATAATTTTCTTTTTTCTTTTTTTTAAATGTCATATTAAATTGAATTTTAACTTGGGTAATTAGTAAACGTGTAAATAATTGTTTCGAATCGTTTTTTTATTCTCAAAGTTATGTATCGTTATCATTTAATAATCTTTTTGCGTTTTTAGTTATTAAATTTTGCGCAATATTTAAAATAATAAAAAAATTTATTTTGTTGTTGTTACAATGTTGATACAACTAAAATAATATTTATTTATTTATTTTTTTTAAAATAAATTTTACACTAATTGTTGTATTTGAGGAAAAAATAATTATTAGGCTATTTATTATCTCTTATTAAATAGGTTATCACACATATCAATTAATAATAAATAAACTCTTCGAAAAGAAAAAATTTTTTTTGGATTATTTTTACCTGTGAATGAATGACAACAATAATTTTCTCTTTTTTATCTTTTTTTTTTTAGTTTATATCGTTATTATTATTATTATTATTTATTAATTAATTAATAAATTAAACGTTAAATAATGTGTTGATTATTTTAATAACGAGTAATAAATAAATAAATTCGTTTATTTAATCGAAAATAAATCGGATGTTATTTGTAAATTATTAAAAGTTATTGTCGTAAAATTAAAAAAGGGGTAAATAAAAATTGTCGCGAAAATGGGGTTATTTGTCGCATTATTACAAAATAAACCTTTTCTTCTGCTTATTTATTTTTGATTCATTATCTTAATATAACAAAATTAATATTCATTATTCTTTTCATTTCTTTTCTTT